CTCAGTCAACTAGGATTATTCAGATAATATGCTAGCTTTATTTACAGATACTATGCTTCAACATAAAAATAAAATGTATTTGTATGTATTATATAAAACATAACATTACATTGAAAATATAAGGTGTACTCAGCAGCTTTACTTAAACACACAGTCAAAAGGTTTAAGTATGACAATTACTCAGAGAGGTTCAAATGAGGACTTTCTTTTTAACTCTGAAGGCAACTTTTGGTTGCCTCTCAAAATGAAGTACAAAATTATGATGAAGTCATATTACTTTTTAAAACAAAGGGAGAAGCCAGGTGTGGTTAAAGTCATCTGTGATCCCAGATACTGGAAAGGCTAAAGCAGGAGGATTGCAAGCATTAGGCCAGTCTGGGAAGGTGTGAGAGAATCTCAAAACTAAAAAATAAAAGGGCTAGGGATATAGCTCAGCATTCCCTGTGGTTTAATTATACACCCACAAACACACATATATTTCTAATAATAGAACCTACTTACCAAAATCTACTACACTATAGTAGTATAAAAAAACTTGTCAAAGACTACAAAATTATTTTAGGTAGTTGGCAACAAATAAACAAGGTTTTTTTGTCTTTATTTTTGTTTTCTTTTCATTAGTACATGTCTGTGGTACATAATAGATTCATGGTGGGGAGCTGGTCATGTACAGGACGCATCTTAATTCTTTTTACCTCCCTCCATCTCTTGGTCTCCTTCTCATCTGCAAAAGCTGTATCTCTAGAATCTGATTCAAATTTGCATTAAAAGGAACTATTTATTTATTTCTTTAGTAGTTTGCTTCAATAAAAACCTTAAAACAATCGTTCCAAACAACACCCATGTTCATAGCAGCACAATTTGTAATAGATAAAACTTGGAAGCAGCCCAATTGCCCATAAACTGGAGACTGGATAAAGAAAATGTGGGGTTTTTTTTTAATCAAATGGAGTACTACTCAGCCATAAAAAATGACAAAATAGAGACATTTGTAGCTAAATGGATGCACATTGAGGCCATACTCTTAAGTGAAATAAATGGGACACACAAGTGTAAATATCAAATAGTTTCTCTACTCTGAGAAAGTGAAAGTGTAAATACAAACTCAGAGGTATAATAGATAATGTGAAATAGGAAGAAAAGTGGCAAAGAGGAAGGGGAAATGGGAGGGGTAGGGGAAAGGAAAGAAGGGAGTGGAGTTAATATGAGAAAATGAAAAAATGGAAACAAAGTCTTTGTAGATAGGGAGGGAGTGGTTGAAGGGAGGGTGGGAGTATAGGGAAAAAATAAGGACCAAAAAGAAAAAAAAAAGGTGCAAATTTCCAACAATGAATGTCATTATATTGTATATCTTAAATGTACCAATAAAATTAATCTTTAAAAATATTTAACACCTATCAATGCCAGGCCATACTATGTCCAGCCACTAGAGATGCATGAAACATGACCCTACCTGGAAGATATCACAGTTCACTGAGGGGGACAGATATGTCCCATCATATGAATGAGGTTATACTGCTAGGGAAGGTACTGCGTGTGTGTGTGTGTGTGTGTGTGTGTGTGTGTGTGTATATACATATATTATTCTATTAACTTATATATTAGCAAATATATTGTATTAGCATATATGCTAATACAATTTGCAATTCGCAGATTTAAGAGCACAGTATTTCCATTTCACCAATAATGGCACTAAAATACTCATTCTAGGTCATGACTGTATCTGCAAATAGGTGTGAAAATGAATCCTACTACATGAACTAGGTAATTAGTTCCTGGGAACTGAGGTCTGAGTATAGGGCTTCCTTACCAAATTTTGAAGAAAGTTCCACATATGTCTTTAATTCTTGCAGTATGTTGTTTGGTGTCTCATTTAGAACAGGGACTCAGTGTCCCTTAAATGACTTCAGAATGACATTACGAAGCTCATTAGTTTCTTTATTTGGCGAGGATTACATGGGTATCCCTGATTTAAACAGAGACTCTGCCATCTTCATACTCTTCTTGTTCCTGTGTTAGTTACTTTTCAGTCATGGCTGAGAAAAAATACTTGAGGGGGAGGGGTTTATTCGGCTTACAGTTCATAGCGGTCTCAGTCCATAGTTGGGTGGCTCCAAGATTGGGATGGCAAATGAGCATCGTGAAGAAGAAACAACCTGGCACACACAAGGTATCTCTGCTCCTTTTCTCTTATTCAGACTACTTAGGGTGGGTAGCACTCATGCCCTCAATCCTAGTGCCCTCCAGCCTAGCCCCACCATGAGTCAATCACATACTCTAGATTCCGCTACCTACAAAACTATGACCGCATGAGGTTTTGGGGAAACATCTAGACAACCATAACATTCCTCTTATTATGTAAACTTGCTAATTTTTAGCCTTTATTTTTAAATTTCTTAACTGAATGGTTCTACTGAGCTCAGAGTGATCATGAAAATGAAAAAAATGACATATGTAAATTTCCTAGCAAAGATGAGGCACTCAATAAAAGCTACTGTCTTTTTTTTCTTTTCTTTCCCTTCTCATTCTCCATAAGCAAACATGAGAAGATTTTTTTTCAGTTAATATAAACAAAAAAAAACCTTTAATGATAATTAAGAACTTTTGAGCCTGCTTTGGTTACTGTTAATATTTCACATCAAACACATTAAGGATGGGTAGAATTAGTTTACATCTTATATTTACTCTATTAAATCATGGATCACAAATTATTTAAGAAATAAGCTAAACTTATTCTGTTGAAGGAAATGATTGCACATGCAAATGGAACTAAAATTTCTGTTACTAAAATAAATACCTTTTTATAGGAGTTAAGCTGATTTTTCCATAGTCCTAAACCTTAGAATGAATATTAATTACAGAAAATCTTATTGAGAGATTGACATGCCTGAGTGTCTGAGAAATTCTAAGTTTGAAGCTATTTTAGCCTCTCCAAAGAAAACAGGCAGAAGCTGAAGATCCAGGAGAAGTGCACGTGCTCACACCTGCCAAGCTGCACCCTTCACAGTTCACTTTAGTTGGCAGTGTTGAAACCAGGAGCAGGTAAGCAAGATCTGCTATGGGAGCTGACCCCAAACTCTACTCTCAGAGAGAATTGGGTATAATACCAACTGAGGGAAACACACACACACACACACGCACGCACGCACACACACAGATTGAATAAGTGTTCTTGGCCAGCAGCTCTGTGCTTATGAACATTTTGCAAGATAGTTCGCACAACAAATTTACAAAGTAATCATTACTGCCTCATTTGCAGAGTAGAAAACTGAGGCTCTGAGGTTAAATAATTTTCTTAAGGTTACAAACCCATGTCTTTCTAATGGCAAAGGTTGCTTTATTATTCCAGGTTCTTCAGAGAAACAGAACATATAGGATAAACATAGAGATAAGAGATTTATTTTGGGAGTTGGCTCCATCGATTACAGAGGCCATGGAGCCCTATGATTTGCCATATGCAAACTGGAGAACTAAGAAAGCCAATGGAGTAATTCAATCTGAGAAGACCTGAAAAGAGTGGAGAATGTGAGCTAATGTGAGATTGCTGTTCTTTTCGGGCCCTCAGTGGATTTGATGTTGCCCCCACATTTGTGACAGCCAATCTTCTTAATTCTGTCTACTAACTGAAATGCTGATCTCTTCCAGAAAAAAAATCTTCCCAGACACGTTGTTTCACCATGAATTTAGGCATCCCTTTGCCTACTCAGGTTGATATATAAAATTACTCATCACAGCTGTGTTCCTAACCAAGTCTCATTTCGTCCCCTTGTTTACCTTCTGGATTTTTTTTTTTTTTTTTTTTTTTTTTTT